CGCAGCTCGATAGGTTCGAGAGCCGATGCCGATGCCCGTATCATCGTCAAATTGACGGACTTTGGCCTAGCTGTTGCGCAGGAGAGATGCGTCGACTTCGATTGCGGGAGCAAGCCGTACATGGCATACGAATGTCACAACAACGTCGCCGATTGGTACGACCCAATGCAAGCGGACACTTGGTCACTTGGAATAGTGCTGCTTAATCTCCTCTTCCATCGCAGCCCTTTTGGCGAACCGTCTCCGCAGGGTGATTCTGCCTTTGCCTCCTTCTGTTACGATCCAGTCGCGTTTTTGACGCAGGCTTTCGAAGGCCTGACTGTTCAGGTCGCGGAGTACATGTCGGACAACGTGCTTTGCGACGTTACCAATCCCAAAAGAGACGGATCACCGCGCCGTCGCGTCACGCCTCAAGAGCTTGGCAAGTGGGCACAGAGGCTGCCAGAGATGCTGTCGGCGGACAAGCGCGAGCATGGACGTTCACCTGGAGCGCGAACAGATTTGACCTCCCCTTTGGAACACTCGCGGAGTCCCCTCGATTCTGGAGCTGCTTCCCTGTTCGGCTCGCCATGGGCTACCCCATCCGGAGGTCCCTCGCTTTCGATTCACGAGAGTTTGGATGCCAACGGTTATGGTTTCTATCCATCCCTCTTCCCTGAATATCCAAGCAACCAAGATTCGAGCAGCTTTCGCGATCAACGCCCTCAGTCTGTCCGAACGCCTTCTATAATAGGGACCCCAGAGTCACTGCCATCGCCCACTTTCTCGCCGCCAAGACGGACTCTGCGCCTTCCATCTGTTTCTGAAGGTAGTCCACTTGCACGTGAAGCGGCCAGCGCAGCGAATGCCGCTCGGCCTAGGTCGCCAGCAGCAGTACCACTGAAAGCTGCAGAGACCGCAGATCCCGGCCCCCAGAGCCCAGCCGAGTCGCCCGAGTCGCCCGAGGATAGCAAGTCTGCGGTCAGCAAAGAAGTTCAGAGTGATGAGCTCCATTCGGAGAAGACGGATGCCGCACAGGCCGGACACGGCCAAGGAGCGCATGACAGCAATGTGGAGTCGCTGAGGCCCGTAACAGCAAGTAATCCGAAGAGAAGGAAGCGGGGAGCACGCAAGGGCCGCACGGCTGCGAAATTGGAAAAGCAGCAACATCTCAAGAGATCTCAATCTGCCGAGAATCTGGCAAGCGTGCCCGCGCAAGGCGAGCCACATCCTCGCGATGCGTTGCTGGCTGAGCTTGCTGCTGCCTCGCAGACTCTAGCGCGCGAGATGAGTCGCAACGTCAAAAAAGCACAGGCAGGGGACGCACTCAGTGCTCCACAGCACACGGGAACGGGGCGACCCTCAGCTGCTCGCAGCACACTTGCAAGTCGTGCTGCTCAGCATTTGCCACCGTCCTTGACAGATTTGGCGGCTCGTCCAAATCCGCCCATGTTCTTGGACAAGGTGGTGGATTCACCTGGATTAGACGCGGCCAGCGTGTACTCGAGCGTGGGCAGTCGCGCCAGCACAGCGTACACCAACTTTAGCTGGAACGATCGCGCTCGTCCTTTCTCTACGCTGAGCACAAGTACCCGCATGACTGACCAGTCCGACAGTCCAGCTGAGTCGCAGCGTGATTTGGCCAAAGACGATGCCTCTGGCAGTGGAGCGCAGCGGGATTCCGCGGCCGCCCGAAGAGATCGCATTAACGCAGAGCGCGGTGGTGATGTTGCATCAACATCGCACAAAGGCAGTTACGCCCCCTTTGTCGAAGATGCGAGAAAGTCCGAGCCATCCTCGTGGCGGGATCGAAATCCTTCCACAGCTTCTGTGGACACAACTAGTTCGGCCTCGTCTCTCATGTCAGACGCTCCAAGCAGCATCTACTCCACAACATCGGCACCTGCGGCGATTTTGGGATCTAGACGCTCCACTGGTAGCAACAAGCCGCCGTCCCGGAGCCTGCTAGGTATGACCGCCGGCCTTGATCCCATTGCAGAGAGGAAACGCGGCGAGAAGGCGGCAGAAGCCACAGCTGCCCGTTTCCAGCCAGCGATGGATGCATCCTATCTCCCTGCCATTTTTGGCGCCAATCCCAAGGCGGCGAAGCCCAAAGAGAGGCGCAAAGAAAGCGGGAGCAATGGCCGTCAGCCTTCTTCAATGACTCCACAGCCACACAACTCGCCGTCTATCGACGACCGCTCCGGATATGCCGCAAGCTTTGCACCGAGCGTACCATCCAGGTTGAGACCATCGCAGGACAGCTATACCCGTCCACCGTCTTCACGTTCTGCCCTTGCACCGGCCTCATCCCACAGCAACGCGAACGGGTCTGACGTCGACAGGCCGGTCACTACAAGGGGTGTCTCATCTGTTGCTTCGACAACTGCAGTGACCCCGATGACGACATCAGCCTCCTACTCGACGCCATCTTTCGACGCAACGCAACCTACTCCATCGGCCTCTCAGAACATCGTCAAGAGCGGCATGTCACGATTCTTTTCGGTGCGGAACCGCAACGGCTGATGCGCGCCTCGTGAGACTGCTGATTGCTCGCTTCGAATGCCGCGAAGGTCGAGCGCGCAGATTAGTGCCACAACCACCCTCCTTCAACGTTTTCCGCAAATGTATATTAAGCCACTAGCTCCAGGCAGAATTAGGGCAAGTAAGCAGACAGAATTAGGGCAAGTAAGCAATGTTAATGCAGAGGTTGAACGCACCCGCGCAGCCTCAGATCTATTCTGACCGAAAGGAGAGTCTGACCATTCTCTACCATGGCGACGAACTCTGTTTACCAAAGAGCAGCATGTGTGCAGTGCCGTACACATAACACAGGCATTCCACGCACCTGGTGAGGTTTCATCGTGTCAGGCGCAGCGTGCATCGTCAAAAAAGACAGAATCACCTTCGTGTGTTGGTGACGTGAATCATCGTATCAGAATACAGGAAGACTGTTTATGATTTAGGTGGGCTTGTTGGCAGCGCGCTGAGCGTCACCTGCCTCCTTGCGGGCGTTGCCGGCAATCTGCTCGGTCTTGTCGCCAGTGACGGCGCCCTTGACACTTTGAATGTATCCGCCGACGGAGTCGGTGGCGCCTAAGGGATCGCAAAAAGGCACAAAATGTTAACTTCTAGCACCAAACAGTGATGAGCAGGCATTCGTGTGTGAATGTCTACGCAAGCTTCCCGACTGCACCGGAGGGTGAAGCCTGGTGATGCCGAACAAACCGTATAGCCATCCTCATCGCTCTGTGCCTCGACGAGAGAAGGATCACTCACCCTCGGCGTACTCCTTGGCTTGCGCTGCCTTCTGCTCAGCCTCGCCCTCGGTGCGGGTCTGGGCACCGGATGCCTTCCAGTCGTTGGAGCCAGTGAGGTTTCCAATCTGCTCAGTGACAGTGCCTGCGAGGAATGCAAGAGTACACAACGCTCTATCAGTGTCGGGCTCATCGTTTCCCACGACCCGAGGGATGCGAAAGCTGCTCGAGACGCACCTTGCACCTGCTTGATACCTCCGGAGAGTTGGCTTGGCTGGTTGGAGTCCGACATGATGAGAAGTTGTTGATGTCTGAGTGGCTTGGTCAGGTAGCAATTCTGTTCTTCTCTCGTAGATGTGGTTGGAGGCGTGCAAACGTTGGGCGAGCGAGTGATGCTCAGGTATATATAGTTTTGTGGTCTCCAAAGAGAGGATCAAAGCACACGTTTGCTTGCTTGACGCTAGCTGCCCTCGGGCACGTCATCGTAACGTGCCATTACGCACAGCCCCAGAGCATCAGCTACATAGCTACAGGTTGCTCGATGAGGAAGAATAGCAATACTCACGACTGTAAGCAGCGGCCGAGCCAGCTCATCTGCGGGCGGAACTTGTGAGCTGCATTCAAGAGTCGTGAGTGACGAAGTGCTGATGTGTGTGTGAGTGTGCCCCTGCGTGGATGCTAAGACGGGGTCCAGCTATGCAATCACAGTCACAAGTGCAGGGGGGCCCCAGCGAATTGTGGCTCGTGCATGCACGGATGAGCCTAATGATGGTTCTGGACCCCCACGCCTCATCCGCCTTATGACGTCATGCGTTGCTGCTGAGCGCGCGTGCATAGCCCGTGCCACACGTACGTACATACAGCCAACACATATGCACAGCAGCAGCGATTGCGTGAGCAGCCAACAGCAGCTCATCAGCAGCCGCGGCCATTCAGCATTCAATTCAGTGATTCGTGACTTCGTTCGCTCATTTGCCGCTCTGATCGATCATCAATGGAGTCGTGTATGTGATGTGAGCGAGCAGCCACCTCTTAAACAATCACGAACACAAACGAATTTGACTCGTGAAATGATGATGAACCAGGTGCTGAGCTCAGATCACATCGAGCATGCGTTCATCATTTCACACAAGCGTGAATATCAGCTGGTCTAGAAGTCCGGCTTATACTGTACCTTCGCCGCGGGCCATCTCTAGTAGGCGAGACTCATCACACTCTGTTGTGCGGTGATGACGCTTGCGCAGCGCCGAGATGTTTCCATGCTCAATGATGTGTATGCAGCATCTTATTCATGTTCATCGCCGAGCTACGCAAACGGATGCGTGACTAATGTTCGAGTTTCGCCTCTGGAAGGATCTCGAATCTCATCCATGTCGTGATTCATGCGACGATCGTGGTTCAGGTGCGGCCAGCCGCTTACTGACAAGCTCTTATACACATGTCATCACCTCACTCAGCTTCATTCAGCGTGAATCGCTCAGGCCGTGCCCGCAAAGCGGAGGCGTATGCTGTGTCTACAAGTCATGTGGAATGTACAACATGCAAGCAAGATTAGGCAACTCGAATGGAAGCTACGCCCTTCGTGAGCGCTCCAATGGACGAGGGTGCAGGAACGGTAAAGATGCACAGACGTCCATCCACACCGCTCGTACTGATGGCGCTGGCATTGTCCGCTGAGCCAGAGTAGACTCGTACGCTGGTGATGGTGTTCTGGTGGGTCGTATGCAGCTCTCCATCAGCTCCGACACCACTTCCGACGATGGCGCCCAGTTGCCCCGCGACACCGCTTCCGTTGCCCCCGCCAGCAACAGATGTTGCTGTACTGACACCACGAGCATCGGCAGACTTGAAGCGATTGAATGCCTCGTTGTTCAGTCGACCAGGTCCACCGACGCCAGATGGCTTGGGAGGTGGTGGGGGAGGCGCTTTGCCCCCGGCAACTGCTGCGCTGTCAAGAGACTTCGCAAGACGCCATCCAGAAGTGACGTCGCCGGTGAACAGAACAGGCTGGCAATCGTGACCGGCAGCGACGAAAGACGTGGGCGAGACGAAGCGCAAGGACACGTAAGGAAGAGTTGGACTTCTGATCACGTGGACTGCATGGGGAGGTGCTCCAGGTGCCGAAGGATGAGCGATGGTTACGGAGGAGTCGTGAGCTGCGCGAGGAAAAGCAAGAGTGCAGTATGGTAAGCGTGAGTCGTGCCGAACAAAAGGAGAGCGTTTGAACGCAGATTACTCACCCACGAAAGCGAGCGAATCTCCGTCTGGCGAGAAGCTAACATCGTGAACCCACCCGCCAGCAGGCGCCGCAAACTCTGCACAGACCGTGCCGAAGGGCAGCCTCTCTCCCCACACAGAAGCTGCAGGCTTGTCGTCCACGCCCTTAATGAAGGCGCTGAAGACTCTCGCGCGAGCGTCAGCACTGCCAGCCGCTAGCAGCACGTTGTTGGGATGCCAATCCAGAGACAGCACAGTAGATCGCAGCGGCTTGCGGATATGCTTAGCTACCCACCAGTCGTTATCAGCTTCGAATGAGCAGATAGAAATGATTCTGCGTCACATTGAGATCCCAGTCAGCCTGGGCGCTTTCATCGCAGTGATGTAATGCAAGCCTTGACTCACCTAGCCCCACTTGCTACGGCGAATTTGTCTTCCTTTGGGCTCCACCTCACAAACGTTGCCGCTCTATTGAGTCTGAGCAACACCAGCGTGGGTTTCCAGACCTGCTTTCCATTCTCGTCATTACCCAGACTCCAAACATATGCGTTCCTGTCCTGAGAGCAAGTCACAAGGCGGTTCGATAGCGGAGCCCAATCGATGCTAGTGACTATCTTGTCGTGCTCCGTCAAGGTGCTGGTCAGGGTCCAACTGCTGCCCGTCAACGAGTAAATCTGCACCTCGTTGGAGTTGGGGCATACAGCCACTTGCGATCGGTCCGCATTGAAAGCGTGAGCGGTCAAGGGACCGAAAGAAAGATGATGCACAATGGGCGCAGACATGATGGCGAGTGAGCGAGATCTCGAGGACTAGCAGTCTACTCGAGCGAGTAAAAGCTGACGTTGGGTGTGAGATGCGAGGTCGAAGCAGATGGCATTGCTAGCTGTGAGGTGGCTTACGGTGGTGAGTTACATGCATGGCTTGAGCGCAAACATGGCGCTCGTCACGCGCCCTGCCTGCACCTGTCACGGCCACGTGGCTTGCCTTATAGCTCGGTGCAGGTTCATCTCGCCGATTTCACCTTTGCTCGCGGCTCACCCGCACCCCGGCCCGGTGTCGCCTTCTAAGCTCTCGCCCATTCATTCCTATCACTCAGCTCTTCATCCTGATCCGCTTTGTCCTCCAAGCCAGATCCCCAGCGCCGGGACGTACACCTTGGCTATCGCACCCTGGCGACACTACAGCTGCTCGGCCTCCATCCCATTGGGCCAATCTTGTCGGCCGACACCCGACTTCATAGCATAGCATTGCATTGCGATCGCGCCGGCCGCTATTCTGCCCTTAGGCCAACCATTCGTCGCAGCAAGTTTTAGGGAAGCATCCATCTGATCAAGCTTCTTTTGGTACTCTTCATCCTTTCACGGCCACAATGTCTTGGCGCAGCAATGCTCAAAAGACCGGCGAGAATGCGGCGCCTATTGCCAACCCGCGCCGATGGGGCGGCGCAGGAGGTGGTGGTGGCAGCTCAGATGCTGGCGTGCCCTCATTTGGCAATGGAAGCGGGATGTCGCAGCCAGCGTATGGAGATCCTTTTGCGGCACACGGCTACAATGGATCTGGCAGTATGGGGTTCAAGCGAGAACGAGATTCTGATGCGCCAGCCGAAGCCGCGCCTGCCTCCGGAGATGCTCCGAGAAAGAGACGATCGAGATGGGGGGATGCGCCTGCTGATGCGCCCGCAGGTGTAGCCACTGCTCTCGGTGCCAACTTGTCGGCTGCCGAATTGGATCGCTACGCTATAAATGTCCGAATTGCAGAGATCCAGCAGAAGCTGGTCACTGGTAACGTCGTTCCGCCAGAGAGGGAACGCTCGCCATCACCACCACCCACGTACGATGGCGCTGGTAGACGTACTAACACCCGCGAAGTCCGTTACCGCAAGAAGCTCGATCAGGAACGAGTCGACCTGATCGATCGGGCTGTCAAGCTTGATCCCAACTACAAGCCTCCTGCAGATTACCATGTTGCCAAGCGGAATATGCGCCCACAGGAAAAGGTCTGGCTCCCCATCAAGGAGTTTCCAGAGATCAATTTTTTCGGCCTGCTCGTTGGCCCAAGAGGAAACACTCTCAAGGGCATGGAGCGGGAAAGCGGCGCAAAAATCAGCATCAGAGGTCGGGGCAGTGTGAAAGAAGGCAAGGGCAGACCGGGCGAGGAGGAAGATGAGGAGATGCACTGCATCGTGCAAGCAGACGATTTGGAAAAGATCAAAGTGTGCATCAAAGCCATTCAGAGGGTTATCGAGGTTGCAGCATCCACCCCAGAAGCTCAGAATGATCATAAACGCAATCAACTGCGAGAGCTTGCTGCACTCAATGGTACGCTCCGAGACGACGAAGGACAAATTTGTCAGAATTGCGGCCAGAAGGGTCATCGTCGATACGCTTGCCCAGAGGAGCGCAACGTCACGGCCCACATCATCTGTCATCGATGCGGAGGGCAAGGTCACTTGGCGCGAGACTGTACTCAAATGCCTGGCCCACGCGGATTTGGCGGAGGTCCACCAGGCCCTGGTGGCCCAGGTGGGCCAAACGGGCAAGGCGGTCAAATGGATTCGGAGTACGCTAGTCTTATGGCCGAGCTTGGGGAAGGTGGCAATGGCGGTGGCAGACCCGGCGGTCCTGGTCCCGGTGGCCCAGATGGCGGCCAACACGCCGGTCCGCTTGGAGGCCCACAAGCTGGAGGTATGCCGGGACAAAAATACGACGCGAACGGTAAAAAGATCCCACCTTGGCGTGACCCCGAGATGTGGAACCCGCCGGGTGTTGGGGGACGGATGGGGGGACCGGGCGGCCCAGGCTACGGCGGGCGTCCGATGGGTCGCGGTATGGGTATGGGCTACCAGCAGGGCGGGTATGGCGGTCATGGGTGAGTAGAACGATCAAAAACGCAGTGCTACGAACGACTCAGCATCTGAGTCCTTGCCGAAATTCCGTTTCCCTGCTCCTTATCTCTGCAGCTACCAAGGACAGGGTGGTCAGCAAGGTGGATACGGCAATTACCAACAGCAGTATCCGGCTCAAGCGGGTCAAGATGGGCAGCCAGACTACTCTGCAGCGTGGGCAGAATACTATGCGCAGCAAGCAGCCCAGCAGGGTCAGGCTGGCGCCTCTGCTACTCCTGCAGGCGGTGCGCAAAGCCCTTCAAACCCAGGACAGGCTGCGCCTCAAGCTCAGGGTGCAGGGGCTGCCACGTCCCAGCAAGGTGCGGCTCAGCAACAACAGGGCGGACCAGAGTTCGATGCTTGGTGGGCGCAGTTCGCAGCTTACTATGGCGCACAGGCCAGAGAGACTTTCGTTCAGCAATTTGGCTACGAACCGCCAGTCGCAAAGTGATTTGTTGCCGTGCTACTGACTCGACCAACTCCGAAAAAGCTCACAAAATGTGTCTGCCATGCTCAAGGCGGCGTTGCTGCTGCGCATGGCAAGACTCCACTGATGTCTTACTCTGATGCACCTTGTTCAATACGTACTTTGCCCTTTTCCTTTTCTCCTTCTGCAGACGCAGGAGGAACAATGGCAACAGACTGCTGGACACAGGTAACGAATCCTTCCACAAACGCTTTGCGCTGTAAGCGGCTGACCTCAACACTGATATGCTCGCTGACTTTGTGGTACATGTCGGCGAGACCAGAGGTGCGTGTTGGGTGGCTCTAGGCATACTGATGCTGTTCAGCGCGCCAGCCTGGCTGCAGACCATCAAGACGAGCTTTGCCCAGGTGCAGAGCAAGCGCGCAAACACAAGTCGGCGTCCTAGCGGGGTCCTGTCACAATCACAATTGGATCAGGCCACTATGGCGATCGCCGCCCCAATGACGTGGTTGGCAGCGCAGAGGGCTTACTTGCCGAAGCCTGAAAACAGGGCTCACTAAAGGTTGAGCTATGAGGTGGCCATGCGGTCCGTCTTTCGAGGTGCATGCCAGTAAGTGAGGCATCCAGAGAGCTCATCGACGATGCTGTTGCGATTGCCACCCTCAGGTGGCGTCCCTATAGCACACACACCATTCAGAATCGATCAATGGCAGACGCTCAAACAGTCTTGTTTGGGTCGTCGGAACGCACGAGCGAGCACGTTGTCTCGATCGAGCCAGTGACGGTCGTCAGCTCTGAGTAGACAAGCTGTGCATTCGTGCCTTGCCTACTTCGGCGGCATCCATCATCCCTTTGGGCGGCGCTGAGTCGTTGAGACTCTGAACGTCGGTTTCCACTTCGAGCGCTGATTCGGACAGGGGCGCATACGAGCTCGGTAAGTCATCAGGCGGCAAAGGCTTTCTCTCGCGTATCACAGTCGACGCAGTCGTACCGCAAGAGATGCTGGCATCTGTTGCCGACTTGAGATACCGCCAGTTGGGCAGCTTAGCGGTCCACTTGCAAGTCGAAATCATCAGCCATTTGAAAGACTTCGCACCTTGGTCCCATCTCCGCCCGTCGCACGTCTCGCCGCAAGCAAACGGCGATCGAGCCGATGAATGACATGGACTACACAGCTTGTGGGGACTTGGCCAATGCTGCTCGCTTGATCCTCATCTTGACGGGCCCGGCCCGTAAGGAGCGGTGTGGCGTATCGAACCGTTCCCTGCGGTCCGATGGAGAGCGACCACGGGGATCGGGCGTTGCCTCCACAGATTTGCCGCATTCGTCGCGATTGATGACAGCTGCTTCGAAATGTGAGGAAGCGAACAATGTCTGCGTGAATGGCGCAGATGGCGCAATGGCGAAGCACGTCGACGGCACTGATACACCTCACGGTGCTGAGGTCACTTGCACAGCAGCTCGAAATGCGCGCCAACTTGCTGTTACGCTGCCTACTGATGTCTCGAGGTTTGTGAGTGTAATTCGCTGATTGCGAGCCGATACTTGCTGATCACTCTTCTTATGGGCGCTGTGGGTTCACAGCCTCAAGCTCGAGGGCAAGATGAAGCAAAAGTTACAGAAAGATGGTTTACGGAGGTGCTTTTGTGCAGAGTGTCAACAGGGCATTTCTAGCTCGCCGATCTATCTCAATGAGCGGCATCTTGCCGCTTAAAGCAGAGGGGGCAGCACTCGCATCTTAGAGTCTCTCCGTCACATCCCTTCATCTCATTCACCTTCAAGCCCGCTATTCAGGCTCTTGTGCTGGTCACAAGAACGAGATCGTCTTCTCGAGTCTTTGTATCTCTTGTGCTGGTCACAAGTACATCTCCGAATAATCAAAGCCTCTATGCAGCCGTTTCGTGGCTCTGTGCGCATCGCGCTGATGTGCACGACTTTGTTTGCAAGTGTGATGGCGCTCGCACCTCAGACCCACTCGGTGAGTACAGAGAAGGACTAAGTTGACAGCAGCGAATGTCAAAAGCCGTTGAGGCAGCTTCAGCTGAAAGGACCCACTTCGTCTCGTGAAGGGCGCTTCGGGCGGAAGCGCTCCGGAGAGTGTACGCTCGAGCCATCATCCGGCAGCTGATGCGCAGCCTACCAAGATGGATCCATCGACAAGCATCGGGAACAAACGCAA